GAACTCTGGCATTGAAGTGTGCAAGTTTTAAAGCTCTCAAGTAACAAGGCCCTTGCACCCCTAACCCTTAAAAAGAAAACCCCAGGGGTGTTCAAACTTGACAGCTTTAAGACTTTAAGGTTTAGATAGAATTCTTAAGAGGCGGGCAGGGCGACTGGTGAGCCAGCCAATCATTGAGTGGCGGGCGGGGCAAGCATGGTGTGGACGAGCGGGTGGAGGGAGCTGGAACCGGTTCTAAATGGCACGATAGATTTGTGGAACCTCTTCTATAGAAGAGGTTAGAACTGGCAGGAACCCACCGCTGGTAGTCCTCAACTTAACAGCAGTTTGCTTAGTGACTATTCAAAGTTACACTGGCACTGAAAAAAGTGACTTATGATGTTTTTCACACTTATGACCATTGCAGCATCCCCGTGATCATGTGATTTACATTCGGATGCTTGACAACTGACTCATATTTATGATGATTCCAGTGTCCTGGGGTCATGTGATTCCCCTTTTGCAACCTTCTGACCAGCAAAGTCAATGGAGAAACCAGATTCACTTAACAACCATGTTACTAACTTAACAACGGCAGTGATTTACTTAACAACTGTGGCAAGGAAAGTCGTAAAATGGGGCAAGACTCACTTAACAAATTTCTCACTTAGCAACATAAATTTTGGCCTCATTTGTGGCTATAAGTTGAGGACTACCTATAATAATGAATGTGGCAAAAGAAAGCAAAGTAAAATAGTAGTATAGTAATAGTAAAATGAAACTGTAAATTGCTCTGGGACTTCACACAGACAGGCACCATCAATATAACTCTTCAGACTTATAAATTGTCAATAAGAAAAATAAAAAAAATCTGGAGAATGGACACAGTGTTGCCAGGAGATAGCAGAACAGAATAAAAAGAACTGGAGAGATAATAAAATACAAAGATCTGCAAATAGAAATTGAACAATTGTGGTAAAAGAAAGTAAAGGTTGTACCAGTGGCAATAGGTACAAAGCCTATTGGGTGCAAAGCCAAAAATGGAGCACCATTTGAACATATTCGCAATGACAAAATTATCATTGGCCAATTACAAAAGGCAGTTTTACTCATAAGAGCTTACATCCTGTGACAATACATTTAACATCATAAAACATCAACTTATTGGAAATCAGGAAGTCCTTGGGAAAGAGTCGATAAGTGGATAAAAATGCCAGATCCAAACATCTGGCTGGCTGTGTGACAACCTCAATAAATTAAAATTTTAAGATGCCTGAGTCCTAGGGACTCTGGGATTATGGTAATCTACAGTTCCCAAACTGAGATTCTCAAAAATCCAACCTTTTCCAAACTGGCACATTTTAATCAACTGCAGTTGTGAGGCTGGTGAGAACATCTCCCCATGGCACCTGTGGGGAATGCTGCATTAGATCAGTATCGGAGAGAAAGGGTTTGTGTGAAGCAACCGATCAGCAGCCTATGTCATTCAAAGCACTTTATATTCTAATCCATAACAAAGGACAAGGTTGTCTTTGTTCATTTTTTCCTTATTAGGGAATACTAACCTAAACAGAATATCTGAAAACTTTACCATTCTTCTCTGCCTTTCTAAATATTCTCCTTTGGGCAGCTCTCTGATCATCTTACACCAGGGACATGCCTGGCTATGGAATTCTGGGAGTTGACATCCACAAGTCTTAAAGTTGTCAAGTTTGGAGATCCCTGCCATAGACAAATAGAATCCACCACAATCTTCTTAAAATAATCCCAGTGTTGATGCTCTGAGACCATTACTTTTCCTTTAAATTGCCTACTTGCCACGAGCGAGTAGGTGGCAATATAAAATTTCCAAATAAATAAATAACGCTAATTGAAATAAGGATCAAAACTGAAGCAACCTACGACACCTGTGTTTGTGTAGCCAGCTAGTAGTAGTTATTTGAAAATACGACAGGGTCTTATTTTCTTTTGATCCCTGAAAAAACAACTAGGCATTCTTTTCTAGGAGTGTCCTAATTTTTCCCCCACATGCCTTGCCTGGCTACTTCTTTGGCAGCCCAAAAAAGTGAGTGACGCATCTCGCATGGCCACTTCTTTCGTGGCCGAAAAGAGCAAGCGATGCGCCTTGCTGCTTCTTTTGCAAATAGTAGGTGGGCGAGCAAGGTGCCCCGTGGCGCCTGAAGTACATACCGTAACGTTTTTTTGAGTGTTTATGTTTGTACCGGCCCATGTGGCCCAGTGCAGCAAGGAAGACCTTTTGCAAATGGTTATAGCCTTGGGTCCAGTGATCCCCTTTTGCGACCTCCTGACAGGCAAAGTCAATGAGGAAATCCAGATTGATTGTAAACAACGCTTTCCTAACTAAATCCCAGCCACCACCCCAGGTGGCATAATGGATTGGGTTAATGGATTAATGGACTTAATGATCTTAAGTCTTAAGGATAAACAACCCTTTTGTAACTTACCAACAATATGCCAAATTTTGTGTTGTGGATCACCCTAGGGGATCCACAACACAAAATCTTCCCCTCAAGGAAAGCACAATGCTCATGTATGATACACCTATCGATTTATTATAAATCCGCAATTTATTCAAATACAGCTATGTCATCTTCTTCTGGAACATCGTCATAACTCTCCAAACCCTGAATTCCTGCCGGACTCTCTTGTGACTCCATTGCCTGTAAAAGGATTGGTCCCAATCGCTGATGTCTAGCAATAGCGGTCTCCGTAAACGAGTATCTCTTGTCCATGTATCCTGCTCGTAGTGCGTTGGCCACACAGGTGTCAGTGACGTTATCCCATGCGTTCTTCACCCAACTCACTACCTCTGGCAGGCTAGGCTTCACAAAGTTTCCACGTGGGTTTGTCTCTATGAGATTCTCAACGTAGTCATTGATTTGTATGTGCAGATGGTCCTTGAATGATTCGTTTACCCCAAGGTCTAACGCCTGGAGATGTGCCGTCATTCCTGCAGGAATCATTATTTGGTCCACTCTTCTCTGCGCAAGGAACCTCTTCATATCTTTGGCACGGTGAGTGCTGGCTGCATCCCAGACCAGCATTCCTCTTTGGCCACCTCGCCCAACAAGTGGCAGCATTAACTCGACCCACTTCCTTATAACGCCTTGGGTGCACCAGGCCCTTCTGGTTTCAAGGACATAAATCCCTGAAGCACGTTCAATCTTCTCTTTCTTGCCCTTGGTGATGATTAGAGGTGGGGCTTTCTTTCCATCCAGACGAATTGCCAAAATGCAGGCGACACGTGCACTTTCATATCCAGTGGAGGGATTGCAAATGGAGGTGGCACCCCTCAGATCAACTGTTGTTTGAGCTCCTTGGCTCATAAACACTGCAGTTTCGTCCATGGCAATCATGTTGGAGAGCTGGTACTTGGAAAAGTCAATGCCATCGACGAAGGTCTTGAATGCAAGGGCGCGTTTGACAAGTTCAGCATCTTCCAGCTTGAACAGCGAGGTGGATCTCCTCAGAGACAATTCATATCGCTGAAGGAAGTTATCCAGCCAGTGTTTAGAGGCTTTGAATTTTCCCTGGGTAATTCCCAACTGTGGCGCCATTGCAAGGGCAAATGCTTGAATATCAACCCTGCGTACAACCAAAGCCTTTGCTCTCCTGTCAGCAATCCATTCAGAGATGCTGTCTTCAAGTTCAGGATGTAATGGGTGCCGGCCTGATCCACACCTGCGCTTCTTGGCATTTCCCTCGTCCACCTGTTGGCTGAGGTTATCGTACTCTGCTCTCCATTTTTGGACCATACGGAGATCCAACTCCTTCTCCTTGCAGAAAGCCGTCAGGTTCTTGCCCCGAGAATCCTCCACAATTCCTTTCTTGAATTCCACAGAGTAGCTCTTTCTTTTTAAACTCATCTTCTATGGAGGCCAAAATAAAAGTCACTTTAGATCATTAAGTCCATTAACTTAATCTATTCAGCCACCTGGAGTGTCGGCTGGGATTTAGTTAGGAAAGGGTTGTTTACAATCAATCTGGATTTCTCCATTGACTTTACCTGTCAGGAAGTCACTTGAGAATCACTTGACCCAGGGCTAAAACCATCTGCAATAGGGACCATTTTGCAAAAGGTCTTCCTTGCTGCGCTAGGCCGCGTGGGTCAGTACAAACATAAACACTCAAAAAAACTATTATGGTATGTACTTCAGGCGGCGTGGGGTGCATTGCTCTCCCACACACTCTTTGTCCGCAAAAGAAGCAGCCCGGTGGCCAGGCTTGCCGGAGCAGACGACGACAGGCTTTTCCGAGGGTAAACGGCTACTGGTAGCTGGAGTGATCGTTACAGGTAGGCAAGGGTGCATGAGGCACGGGAGTCGCTCCTTTCGGCCATGAGAAAAGAGGCCCGGCAGCCAGGCCAAGCATGTGGGTCGCTCCGTTCGGCCGCGAAAGAGACCTGGTAGCCAGGCAAGGCAGGTGGGGCAAGTTCCTCCCTTCTGCCCTTCCCTCCCGCCTCCTCACCTCATGCTGTCCGCACTACAAGCAACGTGAGAAAATGGCAGGGACTGGCCACACATGCGCTTAAATTTTGGGGGTATGGCTTAATTTTAATGCATGCACACAAAACGATGCTAGGCCTTCTTTTTTGGGTGGGTCGTGTTTTAGGAGAAACACGGTAACATTTTGATGTCTCTTTTGCAACCGTTCCCTCATACTACTTTCCAACCCACTCCCCCCCCTTTTCAGTTTTTGGGGGCTGGATTACCTTCTGGGGCTCCTCAGCATCCTGGGAGCTGAAGGGCTGGGGTGCCTGGCTCTCCAGATTGACTTCTTCCTCTTCCACCTTCACCTTCACGGAGGAATTCAGCTTTTCCCTGCCCATCCAGCAGGCTTTCCCACTGATGTTCGGATCCCCTTGGAGTACAGATTCCCTTCTGGCTTCCCCAGAACTTTTCTGCTGTGGATCTTCTTTGTCTCTTCCCGAGGAGGCCTGGGAATCTGTGCCATTATTTTCCAAAGGAGGTGGTGGTATGGGAAGCCCTGCCACATTTTTCAAGAATTCCTGCCATTGAGAGTCCCAGCATTGGTGCATTTCCATCTTTGGTTCAGAATTAGGATGGGATGTTCTGTCCTGGGTAAAGAAATCCCCAAGGGTCCTCACTTGGACAATGAGAGGGTCTCTTCTCCCACTCTCAGTGCCCTCTTCTTCTTCTTCTACTTTGGGTACCACAAGCCGCTGTTCCTCCATAGTTGTTGCTCTCTGCAGTTCCAGAAGGGAAAAGGAAAGGAAGAAAGTATTATTTAGGGCTAAGGATAAAGGTTCCCCCGCACATGCATGCTAGTCATTTCCGGCTTTAGGGGCGGTGCTCCTCTACGTTTCTAAGCTGAGGAGCCAGCACTGTCCAAAGACGTCTCCGTGGTCATGTGGCTGGCATGATTCCTTTAGGTGAAGGCGCACGGAACGCTGCGACCTTCCCACCAAAGTGGTCCCTATTTTTCTACTTGCATTTTTAACGTGCTTTCGAACTGCTAGGTTGGCAGAACCTGGGACACGTAACGGGAGCTCATTCCATTACGTAGCACTAGGGATTCGAACTGCTGAACTGCCGACCTTCTGATCGATCAGCTCAGCGTCTTAGCCCCTGAGCCACTGCATCCCTACTTAGGGATATATGATGTGAAAAAAATAAAAAGATCCTTTCCCACGTCTTTGATATTCATCATTTCTCCAAGGTTTGTAAAATATTCTCCCTGGAATAAAGACAATTCTCAGCTGTGGGATTTTTAGTAGTAGCTCTGTCATACAAGTTGAATGAATAAAGACATATAAGTAAAGAAATTGGAGCCTGACCTCCATCAAAGCTATGTGAGCTCCTGCTCCAAGCCTCCCAATCCCCTGTTAGTGCCCTTTGGCCCTATTTCTTTCCCCACAATCCTCAGGGCCTCCCAGGGTTGGAGGCTGTAACTTTGGGGCCTTTACACACAGGTAGTATGTGAGATACGACTGTAATGGAGCATGCTCATTATGGTTGCATCTCATGATTGCCATCAGGTGAAATGCCTCCCCCATTAATGACCCCCCCCCATTCCTGCTCTCCTCAATGAATCCTTAAATGAAAATGAGCGCCTTGGGATGGGGGAGACCTTGGGAAGCATGCTGTGACCCTCCCAAGATCTCCCCAATCCCCCATGCTCTGCTCCCTATCCATTGTGTCCTCACAGGCCCTTTCCTACTTCCACCAGGTCCCCCAGGCCTTAACCTTGATTCCCACCTGGCCAAGCAACCACCTTTTGAAGAGCTCTGAGGCACCGCAATGACTTCCTTCTTTTCGTGGCCACATGGTGCAATTCCAGAAACAGCTGCCATTTTGTCCCGACCACAAAACAGAGGATGCATTCAAATCACTGTCAGGCGGCCTTGGGAACAAGCTGCTTTCTTTGGCTGCCTTAACATGGTCTGCCCAGTGCTACAGAAAGTGCAGAAACTTTCTGCAACATTCAGAAATGTCTGCAGCACTGTTCAGGCCTTGCTAAGGCAGCCAAACAAAGCCGTCTTGTCCGGTGGTGGCCATTTTGCCCCTGCCCACAAGTGAGTGGTACCCAATGGCGGCCACATTCAGGTTGCCGCTGCACATCCCAGGTACATGTGGCCTTCCTTCCTTTTCCAATATGCATTCTTTTGAGCTTCAATACAATAATACAATAGAAGAGTTGGAAGGGACCTTGGAGGTCTTCTAGTCCAACCCACTGCCTAGGTAGGAAACTCTATACGTTCCAGACAAATGGATATCCAACATCTTCTTAAAGACTTCCAATGTTGGAGCATTCACAACTTCCTGAGGCAAGCTGTTCCACTGATTAATTGTTCTGTCAGGAAATTTCTCCTCAGTTCTAAGTTGCTTCTCTCCTTGATTAGTTTCCACCCATTGCTTCTTTTTCTACCTTCAGATGCTTTGGAGAATAGCTTGATTCCCTCTTCTTTGTGGCAACCCCTGAGATATTGGAAGACTGCTATCATGTCTCCCCTAGTCCTTTTTTTCATTAAACTAGACAGACCCAGTTCCTGCAACCGTTCTTCATACGTTTTAGTCTCCAGTCCCCTAATCATCTTTGTTGCTCTCCTCTGCACTTTTTCCAGAGTCTCCGCATCTTTTTTACATCTTCAAAAGATAAGTGCAATGGGTGATGGACATGTTGGGAGTAAGCCAAAGCTCTGTGGGTCCTGGTGGTGTGATATGGAGGTGGAGAGAGGGGGGGGGGCACTGCAGTGTCCCTATAGACATCGTAAGGGCGAATGACTGCAGGAGCACTGCAGCTGGCATAACCTTAAAACAGGCTTGTATATAATCTGTTACATACTTGCCATAACTTTCAATATTCGTTATGTGACGCGTCATATCTCAATGACTATTTGCACAAGGTCTTGTGAACCTGGAATGAGCTTCCTTGGTCTCCGGGCAAAATTGGCTTCTCATAGGAGCATGAAACACTTTTTCTTTGCTCAATAATTTAATTTGGGGTCTGGTGTTTCCACCCTGCTCTTGTTTGCAAATGAAAACCTTGGTTACTTTTATATTGAGAACTATATAGATATGCAGGTAGTCCTCACTAGGCAACCACCATTTGGACTGGGAACTCAGTTGTTCAGTATCACACTCACTAAGCAGCAATTTACAACTGTGAGAGTTACGAAATTACATCCCCTTCAATTGTTAACCGAAGACACATGGTTGCTAAACAGAACCTTGCATGACTGCAACATATGATTTTACTGCCAGCTGCTCCATTAACTCTGCTTGCCACAGCTGTAAAGAGGACAGTCGTGATCATATTACTGTGGCTGTAAATTTGATAATTTGTCAGAAAAATGCTTCTTCTCCCCTCCCACCAAGTCCTAATTTGAAAATTTTAAACAGCTCTTTTTATTTGTTGAGAGCTGCCCGGAGTTGCTTAGATGAGATTTGGGGAGGTGGGGCACTACAAACCATATAATAGAGCGACGAACCGTAATAATATTAACGGAGATCACGTGACTGAGGGTTGGGACAAAGGTTATAAATAACTTAAAAACTTATTCTTCCAGAATGATCGCGAGGCAGTTGTTAAGCGAGGTCTACCTGTACATAGAGGAGTAGAGTAGAGTAGAGTAACTTATAATAGGAAAGAACATTTCTAAAATTCCTTTCTTGACTTTGCTTACCTTATATGGGTAAATATGACTGAATTGCTCTTCCTCCATTTTCTCAGAAAATGAAGAGAAGAAAGGGAAGCCCATCAGAGATGCAGCTGCCTCTGGATATGTTAAATGTGATTGTGTAGCATATTTGAGCCTTTAAAAGCAGGGCGCTCCCTGTGTGGGTATTAAGGGAAGTTTGGGAAGCCAGGGAGAGAAAGATACCCATCAGTAAGAATGCTTTCCCGCTCAAATTTCTCTTCTCTTTCTTAAGAACTTCTAAAATAAATTTCAGCAAATTGAATGAGAACTATAGAAAATAATCCTGGAGTCTTCTCCATAGGAGGAATGCTCTTTTTCTCAGCTCCAAATTTGATTGCTATCCCATTGTACTAAGCAATGCTTATTCCAATAGTAATTTATGGGATGCCACACAATTGAGGCCTGTGAACTAGGGTGCTGGAGAAGATTCCTGTGAGTCCCTTGGGTTGCAAGGCAATCAAACCGGTCAATCCTAGAGGAGATCAACCCTGACTGCTCTTTAGATGGCCAGATCCTGAAGATGAAACTCAAATACTTTGGCCACCTAATGAGAAGGAAGGACTCAGTGGAGAAGAGCCTAATGCTGGGAAAGATGGAGGGCAAAAGAAGAAGGGCACAACAAAGAATGAGGTGGCTGGCTGGAGTCACCAAAGCAGTAGGCATGAGCTTAAATGGACTCAAGAGGATGGTAGAGGTCAGGAAGGCCTAGAGGAACGTTGTCCATGTGGTCGAGATGGGTCGGGCACGACTTCCCAACTAACAACAACAATGGGACCTTGTAGGTCATCTAGTCCAACCCCCTGCTCAAGCACCCTCTGCTGGAACACACTACCCAACACTCCCACCCTCCAAAATCAAATACGTCCAACAGATCTATTAAATAAAACTCTCATAAAGCGTTATCTTCGATAGCGACAGAATAATCCATGTAATTAATTCCATAGGGTGGGGGCTCTGCAACACGACAAAGCTCCCCCCATCGCTCTTCTATGCCACCAACCAACGGGGCCTGCCTTCACGCTCCGGCATCTTCTCACCACGTTGCCGGCAAAGCTACTCCCAAAACTAGGTGGTTGAAAACGGGAAAAAGAGGCAAGGCGGCCGCCTAGCAGCTTTCACAGCCTGATTCAAAAGCCTGATTCCCAGTAATTAGGGAGCCCGGATAAAAGTCCGAGAGCCCAGATCCGGGCCAAATGGAGAGGGGTTTCCCTCCCTCCCTCCCCCACACAAACAAACAAACAAAAACAAGTGCAAAAGTGTTTCCCGACCTGCCCCTGCGGAGCAAAGAGCTCAGCTTCTGGGCTGCCTTGCGCGAGTGGGAGGCGGGCATAGGGAACCCCCACGTGGCTGATCCAGCGGCTCCCCGACCAGAAGGAGAGCCGATCTTCTCTCCCCCCTCCCCCGGGAAGTCCCACGCTTTCTTACCACGCTGCCCTCTGCCGCGGGAAGAGCCGCCGCCTCTCGCACCCGCGGCTGTTCCTCGCTCCGACGCGCCTCCCTTCCAGGTGAGACTTCACTGCAACCTGGAGGGCCCCCCCACCCCCGATCTGGACTGGAAGAGGGGAGAGGCCAGGACGCCTCTTGGGAGGCGGAGCTCAGGCTGCTTTTGTTGGGGCTTTTGTTTCTGGAGGGAGGGGGGCGAGGGCGTGTTTGGGAGAAAGACACGGCTTGCTATTTTGCTGGCCGGTATTCAGAGATGCCCGGTTGCCGAAGGTCCATCGGGGCCATTGCTAGCTGCTTAAGGACCGACGTTTCCAAAAACTTTTGCCAAATGCGCTTTGGTTTGGTTTGGTTTGGTTTAATTTATTTGTATGCCGCCCTTTTCCCTGAAGGGACTCAGGGCGGCTCACAACTCAAAAAGGGAGGGGAAATACAAACAGAGTTACAAAAACATAGAAACCATGCAAACCAAACCAGCTTTTTGGTTTGCTTGCTGGCTTATAAGGCGTGTCCTGCTTTGATCCACAGAGTACTACGATCTTGCAAAATAACCCAAAGGTGGAAAAAAAACAGCAGGTAAAGCCATCAATACAGCTAACCCCCAGCGCCCAAGCTGATGGCAGTTGTATTTCTGTTGTGAATTTCTGCAAGGCCGTTTGTGTGGATTTCCCAAGAGTAGATTTGCCTGGGGCCGGAGAAGAAAAATTTAACGAAAAAAAAAAACCCAAAACAAGCTAAAATGTGCTTAACCTGCAGATGCCTGCACTATGGGAAGTTGAGAAGTGATTTTATTATTGAGAACTCCAGTGACTTTTTGATTAAAATTGAATGATTGAAAGCCGTGCATATATTTCCTCCCCCAATAATTTTATTCAAAAGGGGAATATGACGTTCATCCATTCATTTTCATTTGTTCATGCTATTAAGACAACTGCCCATCTCAAAACATATGGCAGTTTAAGAATGAATAAAAACAAGGCAAGAACAGTACAGTGAAATAATAAACATGGTCCAAGCCAAGATAAAAAATGCAACCAACAGTATTAATGTAACCACAATTTGGATTTAGCCACACAATCAGGGCTCCAGGCTCAGTAACAAAAGGACTTCAAGGCTTTATGGAGAGCCAGCAGGGCTGGGGCCAGTCTAATCCATGGAGGGATGCTGTCCCAGAAGGTGGGCACCAGGAGAGAAACAGCTCTCTTCCAGAGTTCTGCCAGAAGCATCTCCCTAATAAATGCAACCTGGAGCAGCCTGTGCCAGATGTAACAATAGATGTTCCTGCATGAAACTTGGCCTCAAGCCAATTGAGGTGGCTTGCATGGCTCCAAATCTTGTTATTAACCTGCATGATGTTGGTTAAAATACAAAAATGTGGATTTTTGTGTTTTGGATTTCTAAAAATCTGGAAGAAGCAGAGATATAGTCAGTGATGCAAATTAACTTATGTCTGCTAAAGGCAGCTCAAGACATGCTGATGAGACAAACAACTCTGGAAATCAACATTTTATTATCTTTAGGTGTTGGTATGGCATCCTTCGGATGAAGGAATTAAGGAATCTGGGCATCAGTTGGCTATGACTCCAGATTTTTACTACAAAACCACTAAGACTATTTCGTTTGGTGTGCAAGAGCCCATGTTAGAACTTTATGATTATGGGCACTTTGATACATGGAACAAACTGGGAGGGGGGAGGAATTAGGGGAAAGAAACTACCCCATTGCACAAAAAAAACCCTGTGCATTGTTGCATTTGGGGAATTACCCTTTTTTCCTGCAGGATTCATGTGGAAATTCAGATTATTTTGGAGAAAAACTCTTGTGCACAACATGGAAGTATATAAACTAAAATGGACTTCAGCAATGGGAGATTCAGCTACTTGTACTGAGGAGACAAAGGACTAGATGGAAACTTTGCACAGGATTGTGTTATTTCTCTATTTTCAGGGAATAGGGATCAGCGTGAGTCCCTGGGAGGTAAACAAACTTTAATAAAAAGCCAAATAAAATGGAAGAACATTTAGGAACATGATTTCTACTCTCTTAGATTGAAATAATACTCTATGCTACCACCTATAGGCATTTCCTTTCACAAGATTGGAAAACTCAGCCTTCCTTTCATGCCTCTTGATTTTCCTTTTCACACTTTGGATGTTTCCACCATTACCCATTCAATGTGTCCAGAAGCCGCTTCCAGGCGTACATCATCCCGTCAACCTCATTTAAAAAAAAAAAATCTAGATTGGAGTTTCTCAACCTTGGCCATTTTAAGCTGTGTAGATTTCAATTCCAGAACTCCCAAGTCAGCCTTGCCAAGGTTGAGAAACACTGATCACTGGAGTCCTGGATGCTTCCTGAGCTTCGCGATTTGTTTGCAGGTATTTAATTACCAACTAGATAATACCATCAATGTGAAGTAGGATGGGATTTGCTCCAAGTTTACATGCAGTAGCAGTTTAATAGCAATAGCAGTTAGACTTATATACCACTTCATAGGGCTTTCAGCCCTCTCTAAGCGGTTTACAGAGTCAGCATATTGCCCCCAACAACA